CCCCAATGGGGCACTGTGACGCCAGATTGGGCCTCGCATTGAGCGGGACCAAGCCGGATTAGGCGGGATCAAGCCAGATTAAGCGGGATTAAGCCAGATTAAACCGGATTTGGGACCAGGGTGAAATCAGAATTTGACCTCCCAAGAGTGGCATCCGAATCTTTTGTTAACAGACCCGAGGCCCGGTAAGGGCCTCCCGAAGCGGAACATAGCAACAAACTCACGTCGTGCTTTTTCGCAGCGCGAAGGGGTTTGGGCAAGCCACGCGCGGATTGTGCTCCACAGGGGCCCGAACTCCATACACATTTCGTTAAAGGGAAACGACGCCCCTCCCCAGAATCAGCTGCATACATCGCTGGGGCCTCCCCAGAACATAGGACACCAAAACTTGTCGGTTGCGATCGGGAACGACCGATCGGCACTCGAAAGCGCAAGACGAAACCAAGACGAGGATACAATCGGGTGAGGGTAAATCGGGGATCTCAAACATCCGGCGGCTCTGGGGATGTTTCGGGCGCCTTAGCCTTCTCAGAGCCTTCCGGGGCGTTCTCAGGGCGGTCCGGCAAGCTCTGGAACGGATTCATCCTCATCCTCGCGCCGTCCCACGACCGCGACCAATGTAAAATTCATCCGCGACCGGTCGCGACGGATTGCGACCGATCGGTCGCGATCGATTTTGTGGCAAATGGGTCGCGACCGGTCCTAGACAATGAAGTACAATCAACCCGTATATCGGAAGGGTGCGGGATAAGGATGCAAGGGAGTTGGAGACCCATAAGAAAGTTTTTCGAACGAGGCTGGTCGGCGAAAGTGGGTAAGAGGGCCGAAGCGGCAAGGATGAAAGGGCACCTTTGGCAAGGTTGTCCATCCTTACCATGCGGGTTGATCGTAAAATCGATCGCGGTCGATCTCGTCGTTCGCGGCCGGAGAACCCTGGCATCCAAGAGTCAGGGATCACCCGGGCTGATTCAAACACCGGGCCCCTGGGATCTCTCGACCCCTAAAGTGGAAGCTGCTTTCTTTCGACCCAGGAAAGTTTACTTGGATGGAATTACCCCCCCGCCCCCGCCGCCTTTTCGAACCGCGCTGGGCCGAGCAAGCGCGCAAGTGGATCCCGACTTGCGTGGGGTCTAGATTTCTGTTCGGGCTTCGCCACGCCTCCCCTCCCAATCAATGGAACCCCTATTTCTGTGGTAAAATGGTCGATTCCCCGGCACACTGATCCTCTCACCGGCTGTAGGTTCTGAAGGGTCAGCTCAAGAAGCTCCTTGGCATCTTCTGAAGCGCTCGTCCGCAGTTCCTAAGGCGCTTCTTGGCAGCTTCTAAAGCGCTCCGTGGCAGCTCCTAGCGCGTCCCTTGACAGTTTCTAAACCGCTCTTGGCCGCTTGTGAAGCACTCCTTGGCAGCTTTGCAAACACTCCTTGGCAGCTTCTAGTGCTCTCCTCGGCTGCTTCTAAGGCGCTCCTTGGCAGCCTCTGAGGCCTTCCTTGGCGGCTTCGAAGGCGCTCCCTGGAAGCTTCTGAAGCGCAGGCGCACGCTGACAGCTTCTAAGGCGCCCTTGGCAGGAGCCCTCCCCCCAAGCATCTTTACGAATCCCAGAGAATCTCCAATCATCCCAAGGAGCCTCACGGAATCCTCAAGAATCTCCAGGGACGATCTGGAATCATGGGAGGCGTCAGCAATCTGTCGGGATCCCCCAGAATATGTGAAAATCTTTCCGTCCCGAATTGGCACGAATCCTCAAACCCGTAGGGTTCTTCACGGGTCCTTTTGACATGTGCAAGAAGCGATTGGCAACCCCTGCGAACCATCAAAAGCCGTCAAGGTCGTTCTGTATACGTGTAGGATGCGCGTTGTGTACTATGTACATACGTTTCGTGAACGATTGGAAGCGTGTGACCTGCGTTGCCTTTGACTGTTGCTGTCGTGCCGTATGCTGTGTTTGATGCGTGTGTAGTAGGTGTGTGGTTGCAAATGCACTTTGTATAGTTGTTGCATGCGTGTTGTACCCACTCGTACCAGATAGGTGATGTTCACGTTGAGCTGACGTCCTGGATGTTATTGTATACGTATACGGATATTATGCGTTCTATGTGCGTTGTGTATACGCGTCGTGAAGGTGTCGTACACGAATTCGTTAAGGTTTATGTACTTCCCAATCACGTTCCGCACATGTATCGTTCACGTGTTGTATGCATTTGTGTACGTGCTGAATTCGCTCCAATCACGTATAGCCTTCAAAGCGTCAACGTTTCGTTTAGGTTTCGCGTGCGTGTCGCAGTCGTGTCGTATACACTCGTATGGTTCAATGTGCGTTGTGCATACGTCTCGCTTACGTTTCATATACGTCCCATAGGCGTATCTTGTACGCATCATAAACATATCGTTCGCGTTTACGTTTTGAGTGCGTTTCGTTTGCGTTCCATCCGCATTCCATATACGTATGATCTCTCCTTTTTGCGTTTCGTATGCGCTTTATACCCGTGACATACACGTTTCAATGGTGTCGAATACGATTGGTCATATTGATACTATAGTTAGCACTACGACTACTACCACAACTGCTGCTACTACCATTACACCGCGCACCGGCTGGCACAATCCCTGGTGACTTACTTGGGAGCACTAAGTGGTTGCACATCAGCATTCCAGTTTGGACTCCAGACTTCTTCCAGCACGACCCCGTTCGAAACATTCGCCGTCGCAACGCCAGACAAACTGGCCCATCCCCTGGCGCCACGAGGGGAGGAAAGAAGGAGACGCGGGACACTGTCTCTTCAGAACGAGGACAGACACCACAGGATAGTTCTGAAGAACAGCCTCAGATCACAGGGGCCCGCGCCACAACCAATAAAAGCGACGCCCACGGAAAGTCGGCGGCACGCCCGGGGGGGAAATGAGAAGGGGCGGGCCTGCTCAGAAGGCTCGGAAGTCCCCCGGTCTTCTGAGAAGTTTTTGTAAGCCTTCCCCGGTGATACAGAGAAAAACAAGTCATAAGGCGAGAGATTTTCTGAGAAGCCCCGCCGCCTTCTGAGAAGGCTTCCCCTCGCTCGCCGCCAGATGTGGTCGTTGGGTCATAACTCGGGTCTCCGGCGGGCCATCCGGGCACTCCCGGAACGCTCCCGTCGAGGCGCAGCTGCTGGCAAGCATCCCGAGGCTGGAAGACCGCCGAGAACCAACGAAAACGTCCAGCAAACCTCGAACATCGAACCCGAAACTTCCCCCCCTCGCTCGCCGCCGCGAGAAGTTGAGCAGGGACCGACCGTCCTGGCATTCCTATAGGCCTACCGCGAAATGTGCTTAGAACCCAAAAATGTTCTCAAGAAAAAACAATGTCCTTAGATAAGCCTCTGTGTTAGAGCAAGACAGTCCCGGCTAGACATGTTCTAATAACAGTTCGTCGAAACCACGAAAAGTTCTCTGAACATCGTTTGGCAGGCCTATAGGCGAGCCATGACGCTTCGCAACTGCTTGAAGAGGATCCGGACCGAGCCCCGGCCCGTCTCGCCCCACCCGGGCCCCCTACAGCGGCCGTCGGGACGAAGGCCGCCCGCGGCGGGAGGAGCCGCGCGCACGCTGCGAGCAGCACCGCCAGACCTCCCAACAGCCGCACCCTCTCGTCTGGCAGCCGCCGCCGTCGCCGTTGTCGTCGTCGTCGTCGCCGTCGCGCCGCCGTCGCCACCAGCGTCGCCGTTGTCGTCGTCGCGGCAGTCGCGGCAGTCGCGCAGTCGTCGTCGTCGCCGCCGTCGCCGCCGTTGCAGCGGTCGGCACCGTCGTCGTTGTCGCCGGCGCTGGCGCCGTTGACATCGCCGTCGTCGTCGCCGCCGTCGTTGTAGTCGTGGTCGTGGCTGCTGTCGCGATCGTCGTCACAACAAGGGCGCCCACGGGCGCTGACGGACCGAATTCTCGAACCTCACCGCGAATACAATGGCGCACAAAGGGCGCGCACGGGGTAGCGAAGCACCGCAAATCAGGTACGTAACCACCACCAGGGTCCTGAACACACAAGTGAGAAACCAATAGTGGAAGCATTGCTTCTAGAAGAAACCTTCGTCTGGGCCAGAGGAAACTAAGCTGAATGACAATGAAACAACAGATTGAATCTCAGTGGGCGCCTAACGGACTGTCGAGGCGTCTTTGATTGTTCAATGGGTGGGACCCCCTTGGGCACCAAGCGAAAGATCTGTACGGAGCGACCTATCCTAGCTGGTGCTTGGCAAACAGCGCAACCCATACCCAATGAAAGTTCACAATGGTGGAAGAGCGTACGGGTATCTGAAGAAAGGCGCCCGAATTATGGAAACAGTCGCACCGCAGGTGCAGCATCAAGACTGGCCGTCCAGTGCGCGTTGGGTACTGAAAGCCAGGCAGCCTTGCACCTACACCTCAAGATCTCTCCTAATCGGTCAGCGTCTACGTTTAGTATGTATGGGCTCGATCAGGATGGGATTCTTGAGAGAAGCGTTCTTGAGGCAAAATGAAGGCAGAATATTATTGACGCCAGCCTGGGGCTAGGGCCTGAACAACAAAAACACAACAAGATATTAGCGGAACGGTGCCTCACGAAAACGACAAGTCATCAGACTAAACGTTGCCCGCGCCTGACAGCGGATGCCCTCTCACTGCTGCTGGCACTGGACACCCCCTGGTCCACCACCACGTTGGCCACGCTCGTCCTCGTCATCGTCGTCGTACGCCTCGTTTCCGGCGGTCATGTTTATCTTGTTTTCTTCGAACGATGCAACCGGGTCGATGTCGGTTACCATGTGGACCTCCACTCCCTCGTCGTCTTCCGTGAACTGGGGCTTGTTGAGTGGCGCCGGCAACAAAGAACGGATCGACGTCTGCGCGTCTGGTGTCAGCCCGTCTGGGAACTCAATCGTGATGATGAGGAAGAGGTTGCCGTGCACAAAGGGATTCTTGTACGTGGGCATACCCTCATCCTGAGAAGAAGGGATCACTGTAAACATACACGCTTGTTTCTGGGAGAAACATGACCCTAATCAATATCATACTCCTAGATGGGGTCGGAATAGATGGTGTTGGAGGCTCGCGCCGCATCGGCGATACATCGGCGATGCATGGGCGATGCATCGGCGATGCATCGGCGATGCATCGGCGACGTCGGCGATGCATCGGCGACGTCCGCGTGAAGGAAATCGAGCTCGGCATCGAGCCGCATCGGCGATGCATCGCCGATGCGGCGCCGTCCTCCGACCCCATACGTATACTCCGACCCCGTCTAGGAGGCCTCGATTTCTGCGGCTCCACAAGTTTGTGATTGTGTTTGTGCTTTGTGATTTGTGTGGCGGAAGTTTGTGCTCGTGCAGCTTTCTCTTCCTCGGCTCCTTGACTGCCTTCATCATTCGAATCGACTTCTTGGCGTCGGGATCAGGCATGACGTACATCGTGGCGCCCTTGCGCGTCTTCTTCGCTGCAAGCGCCTCTCCGCGCGTGCACTGCTTGAAGTACGCGCGCTGGCTGTCCACGACGAAGCAGCCGACGTCGATGCCCTTCCTCTTAAGCTGCGTCTCGCACGCCTTCTTCAGGGTGTCAACGTCCGTGGTGTCGGCCTGAGCAACGTTCTCGATGGACGGGCAGTCGCAGTCCTCCATGGCCTCCCACTCCACCTTCGAGTCGCCGTCGGCCAGCGGGTCGAAATTTGCGCTCATGGGCTTGATGATCTCGCCTGTTGCGAGCGCGGGAGGCGCACCGGGGACCAACTCCGAACGCGGAGGGAGCGACAACGGCATGAGCCTGAACTTCTGGAGGTCCGACAGCTGATGCCCATGCTCTTAATTCAGCGGTGGACAGAACTGAATGGGGCCCATGGACACAAAGAAACATGCACACCTTTCCCAAGATGCCCAGAAATTGCATGACATGCTCTTAAGGCTCGTCTCCACCCCACTTGCCATACTTCCCCATATTTTCCCGGGGATCGATTGACGATTCGTTGTGTCTGTGTGTGTGTGTGTCCTCCATCCTGAAGATACCCTTTCGAAAACACCCCCTGGTGCACACGACCCGGGACTCCACCGAGCGGGTGCAGGCCCCGCAGAGACTGCAGACGCAGCACCCTCTGGAGGCCGAAGGCGAGCAGCCAGTGCCCGGCCAGCACCACCGAGAGGGCACCGGAAAGGCAGGAGCCCCGGGCGAAGCAGCCCCACTCCGGGAGAGGCGCGCCGAGGCGGAGGGGCTCGCGCGCGGGCCCCACCCACACGCGCACTCAGGACACGGATAAGTTCGACTCTCCCCCTCCCCCCCCCTGGCAGGGTGCACCCGCTTCGCTGTTCGATCGCTCGGGTCCCGCGGCAGGAGGCCGACCTGGGGCGGAGGTGTGCAGTCGGCGCCGGCTCCTGAGGCGCCTCCCCACGTGCCGCACGAGGACGGCCCGCGGCACGGCCAGGGCAGTGGACGCCAGAGAAGGGGATGGCCTCCCCCGCAGGGATCGCCGACCCCTGGCATCCAACGCAGCGAACAAGTTTGAACAGTGTAATGCGACAGTCGCGCCCGGAGCCCTGGACCCCACTTTCTGGCGTCCTTGTTCGAGCCGGATCGATCTGTGAGGGTCTTGGTGCCCGAAGCTGCTCCGAAGCGCCCGGCTCGAACAATGGCGACGCCAGGATCGCAGGGACTGCCGAAGCGACCTGCGCCCCTCCGCCTCTGCCGCCGGCACAGCACGGAAGGCTCCTGGGGCGCCGCTGCGGCCCGGCTGCCTCGCCGAGGTCCGCGCGCAACCTCCCCCGAGGCACCAACTCCGGTAGCAGCCACGTGGGCAGCAGCGGGAGTCTCCCCCGAGATCCTGGCGCCGCAGCCTGTTCGCACCCTGCGCTTTCGGGCCTCGGGGCCCTCGGGGGCCCCTCGGGGGGCCCTCGCGGGGGATCCGGCCTGCCGCAGAAAGATGGGGTCCTGGGCTCTGGTCGCGGCGATGTCCCAACTCTTTCGCGACTTCGGATCTCAGGGTCCGCTGGCGCCCCGTGTGCTGAGGGGGGGGCCAAAAGGAGGGATCGGGGATGCACAAGCAAAAGCCGGGGCCAAATCGGACCCGGATGAGTGGGAGACGTCTGAGACCGCGCGGTTCTGCAGGATGCATCGGGCTCCGAGGCCGTGCCAGAGCGCTCTGGATCTCTCTGGAAGGCCTCATGCCGGTCCTGGGCCCGCCCGATTGCGTGCCCTTTCGGGCGCCCGCACGCCTGGGGCGGTCTTCACGAGCAGCTTGCGCCCGTCGAGGTGCTCGATGTCCATGCTGAACCCGCACAGAGCCTCTCACGCCGAGCAGCACGGGTGCACCGTTGGCCCCCGCCGGCCCGGGTCTCCGAATCGCAGCCGGTTGGAATCCGAGGCCGCACGGGGCTACCCGCGATGCGGGTCCGGAGCTGCCCGGGGGTCTCTGAGGCCCCCCCTGGGCGTCGGACCCTGGGGTCTGGCGCTGCGAAGCACTTTTGCAACATCGCGAAGCGTGCGCACGTGGGCGTGCCCGCCAAGCCGCCCAGCATC